CCTTGTTTCAACACGTTCCTGCTCCCACAGTGTGCACACACACACACACACAGTGGGGTAATTTGGTGTCAAAAGTGCCACCACGAATCTTTGCCTGAATAGTGCATCATGTAGATCTTTGTGAAATACAATACAAATATAAGTCTTGAAAGATAACGATATTAGAAACAGACTTAGTGTGTGAGGGAATGTATCAATATTTTAATAATTTAATAAGATTAAAGTCTACACAACAGTGCATAACCTCCAAGCTGATATATGTTTAGTCTGCCTGTTTTGCCATTTCTCCAATACCAACAATGTACGTCTTTGTTTTTGTGCCTCTGGTTCTATGTAGGGCTTGTCATGGTTTTTGCACGAAGGGGAGGGTGAAGCGAGGGAGATGCAGTCTGCAACTACATCACTAGATGCCACTAACAGGGAGTTTTATACACAAAAATCCTCTTTTATGCAACACCTAGTCCTTTGATCCAGTGTTAATATAAAACTATTGGTTCAAACACCTTTAAATAAAGTCTATGTTTAGGGGTATCCCAATGGACTAAAAGACTTCTACTTCGCACAACTTTTTTTAAGCCAGAGTTTTGAAAATCCAGTGTCCACTGGACAAAGTTCTGACTTTCTGGAAGGGGGTCATTAATTTATTACTGCCCATAATTTACCATCCACTGAAGTGAAGGACTTCCAGTCTGAGTAAGTGCGACCTTGCTTGAAAATGCCTTTATGGGGTTAGACAGCTTTGACGGGAAACAAGGATATATATATATATATATATATATATATATATATATATATATATATATATATAATATATATATATTAAAAAAATTTCTACAGCCACATAGTCTTTGGTTGGACCTGAAATTTTAATTTAATTGAAAAGTTAATTCTTCACCAAAGCAACATATTTATACATATATGACAAATATTGTTATGACTAGATTTTTCATTTGTGCTGGACAATGCAGACACCTTAATATGAGCAACCAGTTCTACAGAAAAAACATCACTTGTGGCATCTTGACAATGTCAAACACATGGACATTGTGACATTGCTGCTTCTGGCCAACAATGTTCCGATGGTTAATCCCAGAATTCGATGTTGTCATTCCAACATGTTTTCTCATTCCACATGAATACCATATTTTCTAATCCAACTCACAGTCCCTTTTTCCTACCTCTGACTTTGGAAAAAAAAAAAAAAGCTGTCAGGTTGACATATTGTTTTGACAAGTAGCCTCTTGAGCTTTTCTTCCTCACAAATCTTTTCTCCACCATGCCTCCGTCTCTCACACCCTGCTGAGTGGTAGATCCTTTGGGAACAGAGCTGCCAGCTTGCTGACATAGTGTATGCTACTGTACCACCTCTGTGTGTATGAAAGATATTACTACACTGATTCAAAGAATAATGGATGGACGATAAAAAAGAGAGAACTGCACGCTTGCACTCATGAACCAGTAGTTTTCAAACTTCATCCTTGAAACAAGAGGGCAGAAGGTGTAGAAGATAGTAGTGTTGTTGCCCTGAGTTTAAATGCTAATTTGGTGCATTTGTGAGAGCTTGCTTTGACTTTGAGTGGGAATCCTATATCAATACCCATGCAGTAAGATTTAGAGTTGGTTGTGAGGCTTAACATAACTATCAATATTTTCATCATGTGTATATTGGGAGTGATAGCAGTCCTTTGTAATTAAATCCCATAATTCAACAATGTTTGGTGTTCTCTCTCTTTGGGAGTTTATGCACAGCAGATACAAAAGGCATTTTAAATAGGCCTGCTTTCTGCAAACCTGATCAGATTCATAGTCAGTCAGCTGTGTCAGATCAGAGCTGTGTTTGATTTGCAAATGCAGCAAAGCAAGTAAGGCGGAAAAGTTTTTCGAGACTGTAGCAAAACAGAAGTTTTGCTTGGTTTCCTGCATTTATATTCTGGATTCAGAGGTTTTTTATGGATGTGCACGTTCCCACGCTCTATGCCCCTTGATTCTTTTAACTACTTTGTGGATGTAAATGATATCCTTTCTTTAACAAGTGAACTTGTTTCCTCATTCATACAGCTTAATGTTGTACCACTGCTTCAACTTTTGGTAATTGTTGTACTAGGCTTGGGCTTTTGCCATTTCCCATTAACTGATTTAGTGCTCCCATCCTGCATCAAGCTGTGAAGACCTTATACATGTGGATTGCAGTAGTGAACGGAAAAACTAAAACAGACATAGCGTCATTCTCACTCCGTGGACAGCAGCAGCAGTTCGGGTCAAGCTGCTGAATCCTTGGCAGCAGTGTCAAACAGTCCACCACGTCTTGGGCCACATCCCATTCTATCTTAACTGCTTGACTAAACTCGAGCCAGGAGCCAAATATGGAAGTACTTCACTTTTACAGCCAACAAAATCAGACACCTAAGAGACACCACAGCCCCAGGGCTAAAATCGCTTCAAAGCTGTCCAACCAGATATGCTAACACAAAAGCTCAGGCCGGAAAATCTAATTCAATAACACTTGTAGCTGATGAGCTGTAGCAGAAACATCATAGTCTGACAATGAAACCAATGACTTGTGGTTAAGAATAATTTGAAAAAGGTCAACAATCAAGCATTAATTCTGTTATAGATAGTGCCACAAACAACAAATAAAAGGCAACACATCCAAGAAAAATACAAACCATGTTAACAAGATAAAGGTCAAAAGTCGTGTTACACATTTACCAGAAATTCACTTTTAAAGGACATCATCGCCCAGTTTTATTCAGGTCTAAGATACATTATAACCCAGTTTATACAGGCCCCAGATCCAGATATATGTTATCTTTTGCTCTTATTTTACAGTTGAATAGCCATGAAGTTATTTAAAGAAACACCTCTGCACACACTGGCGGTTCCAAGTGGAATAGAGGGTAACTTTAAAAACAATTTAACTCACTCTAAAACTGTGTAAATAGATGTCAGTACACTGAAGTACACAACACACTCTCGTGTTTACCAGCTCCACTTGATATCTTATTCTAAAAGATACCAAAGGAATGAGAAAAAGTAAAACCTCAAACGTCTGGCTTAGAGGGCTGACTCACTGCTGTTTACAAGAAGTTTGTATTTTTATTTTCAAGTCGTGGCTTATGTTTCGTTACCTCCAGTGAGTGGAGAATCATTAAAGCACCAAAATGTGGTTCATCGTCCTCAGTGAGTTTTCCTGTTTAGCAGCAAAGACAGAAATCTTAAAGGACCTTCTTCAGCCAGTCAGTTTCTGTAGTGATACACGAAATACCCTGACGTGGAAACACTGCTGGATGTTTTGCATGTACATAGTCCAATCATTCTGCCCATTTAGTTTCCACAACTGTAATTAGTCATGTTCAATCAGATGTAGACTTATTCCCTCCAGACTTGTTCATTGTAATTGGTAAATTGGCCCGAAATCCATTTTCTTGTAGCATTAAACTGGTATTAAAATGTTTACATCGTGCCTTTTGAAATATTCAGTGTATATGCCAGCTTCTTCTTCAGCTCCAGACTTTGTTATTTTGAGTTTTAAGCCCTATTGGAAGGGTTCTACTGGAAGATATCTTATAATTACATTTTTATATAGTGCAAGTCAACTTCCAAAAAACTAAATGGGGTACGGAATCTGTAATTTTTCTCAAATTACAGATGGAAAACACAAATGTCGCTGCAAGCAACAATAAGGCAGCCTGGGAACGATATTGGCAAAAGATTACACGGACAAAAGGAAGGAGACAGGAAAGAGGGAAAGCCTGGAATAAAAGGATAAAAAGAGTGGAAGGAAGGACTTAAGGTTTCTTTACATATCAATAAGGGGAAAGTTTAGATTTTAAAAGATCAGTATTGAAGATTAATTCTATACAATACTTGAAATGTAAATTCAGTGAGCTTCTTTGTTTATATGTATTTAAAACATGTATAAGAGAAAAAGATGAGACAAAATATCATTAAAAGGAAATTAATGATAATGACTTATACACAAACTCGATGAATACAAAACTAATTAAATCGTATATGTTTGAAAAGAAGTAGGAGTATATTTACAGTCATTTATTCCCACCTCTTCTTTGACTTTAGTTGTGTAGATGTCCTTTGTTGCGCTGGATGAAAGCACAGAGCAGGAATTCGTCCCTTGGTGCTGTGGTTTGGCCGGTGCTACAGCTCCTAGTAGTTTTAGTTCTATGAGCGGATACCGACTGAAGAAAATGCATCAATTTCCTGTTTTCTGACATTGTGCACAAAGCTGCCACATTCATTAACTTTTGAGATGATGTGAATCTGTTCTTTATATGTGACTTTCTTTGGTTCTAGAAGAACAGACATGGAAAATTCAGGCAGGATTACATAGCCGATAAGAATTAAGAGCTGCAACGATGTTTCGATTAATCGATTAGTTAATTAACATTTGCTGGTCCCAGCCTCTTAAATGTGAGGATTTGATGCTTTTCTTTGTCCTATAACTGTCAATGGTCTTCATGTTATTACCAAAGTGAATTCCTGAATTGTTTTGTACCATTACACAGGGCTGCTTCCATTTTTGATGTTATTTGAATAAAATGTATACATTTTAAGTTTAGACTGTGATTTTTATTTATAAACCCGCACAGTACAGTTTTGTGATAGTTAGTTAGCGATAATTACAGTACATTTGTTGAACATAGTTTCATTAGAAGTTGTCAAAAATCGAAAAGATTGATGCCAACCTTTTGTTTTTAGTGTATAGATCAAATAAAATAAGCAATCACCCTGGGCTGTGGGATATTATAACAAGCGATTACTCAATTAAGCAACAAAATAATCATCAGTTAAATTGTTGCTCTGTAACGATTACAATTTCATGGCTTCCCCTTCCCTAACTAATACTGTGTACAAATGCTCATTGTGTGCTGCCTTTGTTGGGTGCAGTGTCTTTCTCAAGAGTTGGTCATGGAAATGTGAAAGCCTTTTTCTGCAAGGAGAAACATCTTGTAAATGAGATGCTGTCTTTCTTTCTCTCTCAGGTATTCCGTAGAAAGGCGGTGGAGCTGGGTGAAAAGCTGCTGCCAGCCTTCAAAACGCCCACCGGCATCCCCTGGGGCCTGCTTAACCTCAAGAGGTAGAACCCCACACACACACACACACACACACACACACTCAGTCTTTCTCTCACAGCAGTCCACTCTGGTGGTATTTGAGGCAGCAGGTCTGTTTTTATGGCTCGATACTTTAAAGAGCTCTTTGGTCTGAGGCTTGATGTGAGCCGGGTGAACACAAGCTCTTTCTATTCCACTCTCGCACACGAAGCTGAGATGTTTTAGCTTTACATGACAGAGCGGGGCTTGTCAGACAGACGCTGTTTGGTTTATCATCCAGGACTACATGCCAGCCGCTGGCTCTGAAACTAAAGTAGCACTCAAAAGACAAAACAAAAGTTTCTGAGAACTGTCTGTCAGTGTTATAGGCCACAGTCAGCCTTTATTAACACACTGCGACATACTGTCAAAGGGATGCCCATGTGTTTAACTGCCACACACACACACAAGCAGAAACACATGAGAGTTCATGATGGAGATAGATTTTGGATTGGATTTTTGGATTCAGCCTGTGTGATGGTTTATTTAAATGTGAATTGATCCATAATATAATGCACACAGACTCTTCTTCTAGTGGTTGTACATATCGAGGGACTGGGGTTTTTATCTGCAGTAATTTGGCATTCAAGTGCTGACATTTAACTATATTTTAAAATGTTAAGATTACCCAGATCTCACGGTGACGTCTTCAAATTTTATACCAACAGTCACTGCTGTGTGCCATAACCATGATGTCAATCTTAACAGAGTAGTCTAAACTAAACCATACTTTAAATACACCTACACAAACAATGAATATGAATTACAAAATAGTTATTATTATATTACATCATTATTTTTCTAAGCTAAGATAGCACACAGTATCATCTTTTAGGATCTATATCTGGCACCAACAACACGGGAACCATAAAGAACATTTCTAGGTCTGCCACCCTTGCACTCCAGTTCCTCTGTCAATCACAAGTGATGAGGGGAGCACTCTCTTTCTCCTCAATTTTCTTTCTATCTCTCTCTCCCCAGAGAGAGACTCGACTCTCTGCTGTTTGTCAGCCGTTAATTAAAAGGCAGGTTGTCCTGACGATAAATGTGCTGTGACAAATTAATTTCCTTTCTTTCTGTATGGGTGAATGGACTCTGTGCCCCCCCCCCTATGTTCCTCTCTGGAGTAAGAAACACCCCAGGGAGAAACTCTGCGAGTGTGTGTTCATGTGCATGCGCGTATGAGTGTGCGCATGCATGATCCCCTGGAGGCTTGAGCAGATTGCCAGTGATGATGACTTTACCTGCATGACTGAGCTATGATAGCTTGGAAGCACACACCGCCAACATCCCTACGCACACACATATTACTATTCACACGTTACAGTAACACATACACCCAGCACCACAGTGGGGGATGCACCACTGAGCACAGAACTTAAACTCCTATTTCTGGCTGAAAGTTTTCTTCTTGTATAACATCAAAAGGCGAGTTGCATATCTAAAAGAAGCCAGTAATTTGTTTAAATGCATGTTTTTCAATTCCATGTACCGATTCCTGGAAATGACTTTGTTGGAGCAAAATTTAGACCTGCTGCGCTGTTGCCTAAATTGGCAGTTATGCATGCATCAGCGTATGGTATTTACAATATGGTGGACCGGAACAATCACTTACAAGCTTCATGAAAGTCCAAGGTGGCGCCAGAATGCTCCAGAATCAGTTAAAGCAAGGGTGTCCAGCTCAGTGTGTAAAACATCCAGTAGGTTGGGAGATATCTTGATATGTCCAACACATCCAGTTTGAGATGAGTGGCCAGTTCACTACGTGCAGCAAGCTCTCTTAGCTTTATTGAATAACTCAGAATGTCAAGAAAGGAAGTAAATAAAGCACCAGTTTTTTCAGTGGAAAAATACAACCGTATACCTTCTCTAACTCATCAACAGAAGCTAAACAAAACTCACCAAAATAGTCTTTTCACTGTTCCAACAATCGCTGACTCTGGTGTCTAACTGTCTAACAGCGTTAGATATGAAAATACGACCTCCCTCTCGCTCCTCTCCCGCTTGATGGCTCCAGCCTGTCCCCACCGTGTCTTTGTCCTCCCCAGAGTCAGAGTCCTGGTCGGAGCCACTGTAAATCACCATATTACTGTATTCCTTGTTGTCAAACTGGTCAAAATAAACCCCAATCTACTGACATAGATGTGAAAATATTCTGTCTCTACAGCAGTTTTTTCTCTCACTCGTTCTTTGGCTCAGTGTGTGTGCTGTGCCACTGAACGTCTGCCACTGAGCAGCAGCTCTCGTTCCACAGAGGCAGACCATTGAATTAGCTAAATAAAAAGACAAAAATTACCCGAAAGAACAACCGGTGATAGACTCCAATATAGCCAATATATTCATCCAGTCACACAACACACACACATAGCAAGACAGGATGTTTATATTTTTCTGTATTTTTGCTCTCGGGATATTTTGTTAATATGCCAAAAATGTAACCAGGATTAAATGATAAACTGAGGAACAGATCTTAATCAAAAGTATAATCTATAAAATGTAAACCCAAACCTAGTTGTATACCACAGACTAAATATCCATTCATAACTATTTAACAGGTATAATCAGTATATACCTGTGGTCATATAACATCTTTGAAAATTAGGTTGTACTGATTATTCTAGTTGGTTACTTGCATTTAGCCTTTAGTTAGATGCCAATGTAACACACCCACATTAAGTGCTATACATCACAAACCTCCTATTCTCATTCAAATGTAGACTAGACAACAAATACACAGTTTGGAAATGAAACACTTTCTCCTCTCTCACTGTCACTGTCTCCCAGAATATGTTTTATTCGCTGGATGCAGGTTAAACAGAGACAAGGGGGAAAACTCAGCTGAGAACAGTTGAGAAGAAACATCAGTGTTGTTAGACTACCTACATAACCTTGACCCACATTGAAGCAGAATAAATCTGTAAAACACACACAGACACACTTGCAAATGAGGTCCAATTATCATCACTGCCTTCATCCTTATTGCTCCCCTCTCCCTCTTTTACTCTCAATGTCTTCTCCTTCATTTTTAAACATCCCACTATCCAAAAATGTTCACATCCCACTTTCCTGTATTCCCTCTCCGTCCTTCCTCAGTCCATCCATCTTGCCATGAGTGACCCAGTATCTTCTTCTGTTTTGGGACATGATATTGTAGGTCCACTCCACTCCATGGCCTTGTTCTCTTTAGTCCCTGACTGCAGTTTTTTATCACACTACCCTGCAGCTATCTAAAAAGCCCAAGAGACGCCACAAGAAACAAGGCCACAGTTTCAAATGTCTTACTGCTCCTAAACCAAATAAACCGTGTTTGCTCAGTTGCCATAAATGTGATTTCCTTTCTTAGCTTCTTTTTGCACTCAAGATGTGGTTTTACAGATAAATTAATACGAGTCAAAGGTTCAACAAAGTTTTTGTTGAAGTCTCTACATGTTTTTAGTTCTTTTCTAAAGATGAACACTTTGAATTGAACATAGTGCAGAATCTGAAAGGACTTAATCCTCTTGTAAATACAAGCTCAAACAGCTTGAAGAGCTTTTGAGTTTTACCTGTGAAAAGACAACCCTGTTGACCTCACTATAGACTTGTTTGTTAGTATTATGGGAACCAAATGTCCTATGTGGTTGTCACCTTATCAGATCTGCTTCTTTAGCTGTCTGTTGGCTTTTTAGAGAGTAATTTAACACCACTGTGAAGGTGGTAAGCTACAGTATTTTGCTGCCCTGTCTGGTTTAATGTTCCAATCTTGTTTCACCTGTAACCACACTCACACCACCTATTAGAATCACTGATAGGTTTGAACTGTTGTACCTGTCACCATACTGAGTAGCAATGTCAGAGGGTCCTAGAGCATACCTGAACATCAATGCAGTATGGTGAAAGGTGAAAGAAAAGGTTCACTTAAAGTTAAGGCACTCTTTAAGTAAACATAAAAACAGGCCAGGCCGAATAGATCTGAATATAGTTTCCATCATCTTTCCCCCTTTGTTTGTTTTCTTTCTTTATCTTAAGTTAAACACTTGAATTGGCTTGAAAAGTGGACTGTATTTGTAACAAGAGTTCACACTGGTCCGGGAATTCCTTTGATATGTTGGAATCAAGTGATGTTGAACAGAACAGAGAACAGGGAATTGGATTCATGCTAAGAGATGTAATGGAAATTCATGCACTAATAAGCCCAAACGGTCACCAGACTGCTCATCCATGAAAGACCAGTAACAAACCAGGATAAAGCAGCGTGCATGTTTATGAAAGCACTCTAAATTAGTCATGATAGAAGTTCAAAAGAAATCTTCATAGAATTATTCATCAGGGTGGTCAGTGGGAAATCTTGTCTTGATGTGCAGTTGATATATCTTCAGGAGACACCTCAAACAGCCTCAACTTGGCCACTTGCGATGTCTGATAAATCATGGGTACGGTACCTTATAAAGGATCACAGGCTGGCCATGAACTGATATCCCCCCCCCTCACTTTCCCCCTTTTCTCTTGCTCTGTGCATAAAACCATTGATTGCCACTAACTGAGCGGAAAATGCTGCAAAGATCCGATTGATTTGTCAAATTGATCTGCCACAAATTCTGGTGGTACTGCAGCCAGATGGATAAAGGGACATTTTTCCATGAATTTATCTTTTGATAACTTGAATTAAAGATTTACAGAGGCAAAGAATTGCATCTCCGGAACAGTCAAGATATCTGCCGGTGAAATATTCTATTAAATGAATGTTACAGCTTGTCTCATACAACTGTTGGTGAGGACATACCGGTATTCAATTGTACAATCAAACAAATGATTTGGTGGTTCGGATGAAAAGATTTGGATTAGTTCTAAACATTCTGAACAAAGAGGCTCTAACAGAGAATAAACAACCAATGTAAGCTCATTAAAAGTAGATTATTTTTACTCCGTAAGAAAATACTTGTTTTTCGAAAAGATTCGTTTTTCTGCTGCCAGTCATTTGCCTTTTCCTAACTGAATCATGATG